CCGATTGGACTCGGGAGCTGGTGTGTCGTAGCGCATGACGTTGTCGGGCCGACAGGAATGGGATGTCCGTTGCCGATTGGAGTGCAGCTGTTACCAAGGAAGCGTGATGCGGTGACGAGACGGCGGCGATACAGGCGCGTTTGATGCGCTGATGCATGCTCGTCGGTGATGCGCTCTCCAGTTGTTTGGCGTGCGGTTAGGACTTGTAAACTGGCGCCAATGCGCCGACGACGTTTTGGAGGGTCGTACAAATGTAGGATAAATCGTAGAAAATGGAAAAATAATAGGAGGCCGGGGGCTATGCCCACGACATTACCCCCCCCCCCCACAATCGAAACTCCTGGCGAGAAGATATGGCCTGTATTCTGCCCGTTTCCCACTCGAATTCTGCCGCTTTATGATTAGTGGCGAGTGTTGAGCTGGGATGGGTGTGTTCGTAGATAGGCTTGAAGCAACTGTGGAGTTCGCTGAAGGAGGTGGTGGAGATCTGTCATGGTGCCAAGGGATTTTGCTTATGGAAGTTGCGTATGCGTTCTTTAGCATGTACGTCCTTGGCAGGAATCCATTCGTCGGCACCTTGTCCGTATCCTTTCCATCTGATAAGGTACTGGAGCTGTTTGCGATAGACACGCGAGTCCAGTATCTTTTCGACTTCGTATTCTTCCTCGTTGTTTACCACTACTAGTGGAGGAGGTGTAGGTTTGTTCATTCCGTTGTCATGGTAAGGGCTTAGCCTGTTGACGTAGAAGACGGGGTGAACCTTGAGCCAGTTGGGTAGTTCGAGGCGATAGTTAAGTTCTCCGATGACTTCGGTGATTGTAAATGGCCCTAGCTGTCTGGGTCCGAGTTTACGGGTTTGCTGGTGGATCGAGATATCTTTTGAAGATAACCAGACTTTGTCTCCGACTTTGAAAGAGTGAGGCGAGTTTTTACGAGTTTCGTAGTCGGCCTTCATCTTTTCTTTAGTTTGGTGAAGAGCTGCTTCTGCTTCTTTACGGATTTTAGCCATGCTGTCGAGCCTGTCATTCAGCGCAGGGATGTTAGAATGTTTTCCTGCTGGGACAGTGAAGTCGGGCCTATATTCATAGAGTACTTCAAAAGGAGAATGCTTGTTTCCAGCGTGTACTCGTGAGTTGAGTACAAACTCTGCCATTGGGAGCCATTCATCCCAGTCGTCTTGGCGTTGTGAACAGAATAGCCGGAGGAATTTGAATACCTCGGCGTTCTTTCGTTCTACTTTGCCGTTGCCTTCTGGGTGATAGGCTGTGGTTAAACCTGATTCTATACCGAGTCGTTTGTATAAACTTCGCATGAAGCGGGCTGCGTATTGTGGTCCGCAATCAGATAAGATCTTGCGTAGGAGACCGTCGTGTCTGAACACTTCGCGGAAGTGTATCTCGGATGCTCCTTCCGCTGTGAGAGTAGTGCAGCAGGGTGCGAGGTGTACTTGATCGCTGTAGTGGTCGACGTAGACAGTGATGGCGTTGTATTTCCCTGGGGATTTTGTCTGAGGAAGGGGGCCAATCATATCAACTCCAACATGTTGCCAAGGTCCATTAGAAACCTCTTGTGGCTTGAGAGTTGATTTAGGGTGTTTGGCTCCCTTGTATCTTTGACATTTATCGCAGCCAGCTACATATCGTGCTATTGCGGAGTTTATTCCTGGCCACCAGTAATAGCGGGAGACTAGTTCTATTGTCCCGTGCTTTCCTGGGTGTCCAGCTGTGGGGGTATCGTGACAGGACTCGATGATTTTGTTACGAAGGGTGACGTCGTTTGGTATGTAGAGCTTGCCTTTGTAATAGATGAGTCCGTTGTTTTCTTCCCACTCGGTCAGCCCGTTAACTAGCTTGCGAGGCCCTTTTGTTCGAAGACTGGAGAGGGCCGTGGAAACCTCATCGTCTAGTAAGGTTACATCACAGACTTCTTTCTTCAGCGGCAAGCTTGTAATGAAGGCCGTAGCGGCTAGTCGTGCGAAATGTGCTGGGCCTAGTTCCGGAACGTGTGTGGCACTAACAAATCATTTGTCGTGCAGGACCACTTGCATTTGATTATCCATGTCGTCAGATATGTACTGAGAGCTGGGGCGGGAGAGTGGATCTGCGACGAGATGTGTTTTGCCTGGCTTATGAGTCAGCACGAAGTCGTAGTCGGCTAGTTCAAGAGCCCATCGAGCTTGTTGTCGTGTAAGTCGCTGCGCGGTGCGCCAGTATTGGAGGTTAGCGTGATCGGTCCAGATCTCGAACGGTTTGGGCAGTCCTTCTAGAAAGTGACGCCAATCTCTGAGAGCCTCGATTATGGCCAAGAGTTTGTGGTTGTAGATTTCGTAGTTGCGTTCTGCAGTGTTCATAGTCTGTGATCGGAAAGCTATAGGATGCCATAGAGCGTTGTTCGGGTCTAGTTGACTGATTTCTCCTCCAGTAGCGTACCCAGAAGCATCGACTTGCACACGTGTGTCTCGGTCTGCATGCCAGAGAGCGAGGACAGGTTCAGTGGTAAACTTGGACTTCAGTGTATCAAAAGCCTGTTGTTGCGCAGAGCCCCACATGAAAGGAATGTCTTTCTTTGTGAGGTCGTGCAACGGACGGGCAATCTTAGAGAAGTCCTGAATAAACCGGCGGTAGAAGTTGGCGAACCCTACGAAACCTCTAACATCTTTTAGGTTCGAGGGTGTAGGCCATTCTGTGACCGCTTTAACTTTTCCTGGGTCCATGCTGACTGATCCTTCGCTGATGAGTAGGCCGAGGTATTCAATTTGGTCTTTCTCAAATTCACACTTTTCTGGATGTAGATAGAGGTCGTACTCTTTGAGTCGCTCTAGTACTTCGTGTACAATTTTTCGGTGTGAGACGAGGTCTAAGGACCAAATGAGGATGTCGTCTAGGTATACTGCGACTGTTCCTTCGGCAATGAGATCTGCAAAGATCGTGTCCATTAGGGCTTGGAAGGTTGCTGGCGCGTTGGTAAGCCCAAAGTACATGACGCGTGGTTCGAAGAGTCCTCTGTTAGTGACGAAGGTGGCTTTCCATTCGTCTCCAGCTTTAATCCTGACGTTGGTGTATCCCCAACGGACGTCGAATTTGGAAAAGATCTTTGCACCTTGAAGCTTGTTGATAATATCATTAGCTAGGGGCAGTGGATATCTATTCTGGATTGTGACGTCATTGAGTTTGCGGTAATCTTGGATAAGCCTGAGCTTGCCATCCTTCTTTTTGATAAAGAAGACGGGTGAAGCTATGGGTGATTTGCTGGGGACGATGTAGCCTTTCTTGATTGCGTCATCGAGGAAGGATTGCAGCTCTTGATTTTCTGCTGGGCTCATAGGGTAGACTTTGGAACGGATTGTTGCGGGAGCATCTGTTTTGAGGTCGATAGAGTGATCCCAGGCCTTATGTTCAGGGAGCCTTGTCGAGTCTACTTCAGAGAAGACATGGGTTTGTCAATGATATTCTCTTGGAACAAGCTGCTCGAAGGTTTTCAAGTACTTTTCCTTATTTTGCTCAACGGCTACTTTCTGAGAGTAAGTGTAGCCTGCTAGGCAATAAACTTCGTCTGTGGCGTTATCGAGTATACCGGCCTTCACCCAGGCCCAGCGTTCTGCTCGATTAGCTTCGACTTTAGTTAAACTTGGTGACGCAGATAAATCAGGCGATACTTCTGAGCTGTCAGGAAGCGTCATTTCGCCTGTTTCCCAGTCTATAGTGGGGTTGACTTTCTCTAGCCATGGTAATCCAAGGATGATGTTCTCGGGACCGATGTCTGTGATGATGAAGTCGTATTCCTCGGGGGCTCGGGATCCGATTTTGACTTTCAGTTTAGCATAATGTGTGATTGCACCAGCGCTGTTAGTTGATCTGTCAATGTTTCGGAGACCAATCTGTTGTTTGAGTGGTTGTTTATAGATATTGTTCTCTCTTGCGAATTTCTCATGCAGGAAATACCCGGTGGCACCGGAATCGATCATAGCAGGGGTGCATAGAGACTTGTTCATTCCTGACACTGTTACAAATACACGGAAGTGAGATGAGAGATGGTCTATAGATGATACAGTACACGACGAGATATGGTCCGAGAGATCCGAGTCTGAATATACAGGAGCCGGCGCTGTTGAAGGCTGCTCATCTAAACCGGGTGCCAGAGCTGCAGCTCTAGTCTGGGCCCTTGCTAAAAACCCTGGCTGATCTTTGCCATCAGCTCAGCTTGTTGCTTCTGCATTAAGAACATCATGTCCTTGAGACTAGCTACATTGGCAGCGGAGTCTTGCGACGCTGAGACGGATGCTGACGCCGAGGGGCTTGTCGACGATGAAGCTCTAACCGATTGTGACTTCAGTGGTTGTCCGTTTAGTCTTGACAGACAGAGCTTTTTCCAATGACCAGGCTTGCCGCAATGTTGACACTTAGTGTCCTCGTGCGCCCCGTCCGCTTTGTGACCTTTAGAACCGCAGACGCGGCAGCGACCGACCATGAGCTTATTGTACTGCTTTTTGATCTCTGCAGGGTCCTTGAGATCCTGGAAGAGATCGTCAAAGCGGGCAGCAGAGATCTCCATTGCGTCGATGTCCATGGCGTTTGGGTCGCAAAAGCTGGAGGAGCGCGTTGTCGATGACCGAGGTTGCGAGACTGGTTTGCCTTGATTGGCCGCCAGGTCTGCTTTCTGCAGGTCGATTGTTGCTCTGTATTTCTTTACCAAATTGTAGTCCGTAGCCAGCGGGGCAAAGTAGGACAGCCTATTGAGGTAGTCTGAACTCATGCCGGACTTGAGACGATCGTATAGGTCATTGTCTGACCAGCTGGTGCGACGAGAGTACGTCTCGAAGTCGGAGAGCTAGTCCACGAATGTCCTGTCACCTTGTTTGATCGACATGAGCTTCTGCTTGGCTTTGTTCTTTGCATCGACGGGTTCGAACTTAGCTGAGAACTGCTTGACGAATTTGTCCCAGGAAGAGCTAAACGAAGTGAGACCGTCTGAAAGTTCTTCGATGTGAGGGCATGCCCAGACTGCTGCGTTGTCTGTCATGAAGGAGAGGATACTGGTGATCATTTTGAGTGGGTTCATTATCCAGTTACCAGAGTGATCGAGGATGATAACATTGTTGGCGTCTCGCGAGGCGAATATCTCTTTGTTCCCTCGGATGTATACACAGAACGCGCTGCGGAATAGCCTGGCTTTTTTTGACAACTTGCCGTCAAAAGTGGCTGGTTTCTCGATGAAAGACCGGGACCGGGAGGAAGAAATTGAAGCAGCCAGTTGGCGTGCGTTCGCGATGAATTGGTTCACGGTAGTTGTGAGGTTGTTGACGTTCTGGATGAGTGTGACCATGAGGTTCATTACGTCCTGCATGGTGGGTTGTGGTGCCGGAGGAATGTCCATTACTGCTGTGGCAGGCTCTTCTAGGTGGTACCGTGCACGGATTCTCTCTTCTTGCTCACTGTTGATGAACAAGTACAGCGGGTTTTCGGTGGTTACCGGTCGTGTGAGATGCTCGTAGTATCGGTTTGAACAGAGGTAATTAGAGCAGGTGTTTAATTCTCTTCTGTCGTCTAGGTAGTAGTCTCGTGCTTCTTCGAAGTTGAAGACATGAGCGAAGGCTGCACAGACTAAGCGAGTATCCGCCACCATTTCTAATTCGTCTGAGAGGACTGAGAACGGATTTATAGAAAGTGGAAAGGGAGTTCTAGGAATAGCTGTACTAGTTCTAACTCGACGAGATGGTCGAGTGCGTAATCTAGTATATACGGATCGAGGATTCGTTCCTTGTCGTAGTCTATGTATTCAAAAACTATGTACTCCTCCAGCTTGTATTAATCGAAGTACCCATTAACCCAAACCACACGAAGTGCTTTAAAAATCTGGACTCGGTTGCGCCGCAGTCCTTTGAACGAGACTCCTCCGATCTGTTTCAACCCTGAGTCCCAGCGGTTCCACTCCTCGATGCTGATGACGCTGGATACATCTTTGAGAGTGCAATCGAGGTGGGCGAGGCGGTCGCGGAGCTTGAAGACGGCGTTGATGTCGTCGGCTAGTACGTCGGGGCAGTCGAGCGTCTCGAGGATGTTGAAGTGTTTGAGAGTGGCTGCAAACTTCGGCGCAAAGATGCGAGCGAGGTCGGCGGCTGAGTATCAAGCGAAGTCGATGGTGACGGGTTTTGGGGCGATGGGTGTGTAGGTTGGGGCGGCGGTGAGGCAATCTGCTAGGGGCTGGCTGGAGAAAGCACTGGCGTGCGTGTTCTGCCTAGTGTTGGCTTGGTTGCGCTGCGCTCGGAAGTGTTGGCGATCGTCGTGTGCCGCGAGCTTGGCCTGTTTGACTGCATCCCAGTCGATGGTCGGAAGCGCAGTAGAAGGTGGCGGGAGTGTGGAGACGTGCCGGACGACAGCGCAGAGCTCAGTGGTGGTGTATTGGTGCGGGGTGCCTGCTTCGCGTTCTTGACTAAGTTGGTCGAAGACAGCTTCGGGCAGCGCGCGGCAGAGGCGAGGGTGACGCTCGTCCGTGAGGCGTTTGAAAGCACGAGGGCGGTCGGGCAAATCTTTTGGCACTGGTTTTATGCAGGGATTAGCGCTGCGCGCATACGTCTGCCACCAATCGCCGAAGAGACTTACTCTTCAAACAGTAGGAATAAACTTTTTTTAAAACTGTGCACAGGGCACTGGATAGGGGGTAGTAGTCCGGGTGCACGAAGATCTCAACCTAATGATGTGGACTCGCGTCAACACACCACGAGGGATACTGCGTGGATCTAATCAGAAGGTGGCGCTGACGAGGTCTGGCGACTAAGCATTAGCTTGTTCAGCTAGCCCAATTAACCAAGTGTATTTAGTGATTTTATACTAGAGTACAAACGAAAGCTTACCCAGCCCAATTAACCAAGTGTATTTAGTGATTTTATACTAGAGTACAAACAAAGGCTTACCTAGCCCAATTAACCAAGAGGTTGAGATGGGGCTAGGTAGCGACAAAGAGGCTCCTTATATACTAGTTAGGCTGCGCACAGACCAGGCATTACATAAGCGATTGTGCTACGGCGGCTGCTAGTGTTTAGGAGACTTTGACGGAGAAGTGAGGGCCGGTGTGTCATAGCTTATGACGTTGTCGGGCCGATGGGGATGGGATGTCCGTTGCCGATTGGACTCGGGAGCTGGTGTGTCGTAGCGCATGACGTTGTCGGGCCGACAGGAATGGGATGTCCGTTGCCGATTGGAGTGCAGCTGTTACCAAGGAAGCGTGATGCGGTGACGAGACGGCGGCGATACAGGCGCGTTTGATGCGCTGATGCATGCTCGTCGGTGATGCGCTCTCCAGTTGTTTGGCGTGCGGTTAGGACTTGTAAACTGGCGCCAATGCGCCGACGACGTTTTGGAGGGTCGTACAAATGTAGGATAAATCGTAGAAAATGGAAAAATAATAGGAGGCCGGGGCTATGCCCACGACACGTGTCTCGCCTTTTTGGAACAAAAACCAGAGCATCCTTTCTGTAAATTATGAGGTCTGTTTTTTAAGTTTTGCGCGAGATATGTTCTATTTCAAGGTATCTTCATGTTCCATTCTCATCTCAGACGCCTTTAAACTTCAAAACATCTTGGCAGATCGACGCCATTGTTTTGAACTGTACTAGTGCTATACAGAC